ACTCGTACCCATAGCCGCCAGCGCAGTGACACCTACTTACAATTGGACATCAGACACAGCTGAGATGGCACACGCAATACTGAAGATATGTGCATATATGCACTCACCATGTCGGTAATCGAGTTCTGCTTGAACAGGATTAGCAGTGCACTGTAATGTTGAATCTGGATACTCACAGTCTTGATCGATGATGATCGATGAATGTGGGACAACCTGCTAGATGCCATCAGACTTATACTACTTCACACGCAACACTAGAGACGTACTATTGCCCTAATCAACATATGCCCGTATGAGAGAACACCTGCCTGTCATCCGAGAGTCAATGGTCAGTACGTACCACTTAAGGGGGAGATAGGCATACAGAGGGGATGCAAGAAGTACGAAGTCAAGATGTGAATAGATACAATGGCAGGTCGATATTGGACCATGCGACGACGTCATCGCGGTCGGATAAGTGATTTTGGGCAGGCAAGTCCCCCTTGCAATTGGAATCTGCAGAAGCGGTTGGGGATGTTGAGGGAATCTGGAGAGGATGTGCATGTTCCCAGCAGATTCCCATCAAGGGGGAATTTACTGGGGAATCCGTGGGTAATATGCGTGGAATACGCAGATTCCCTGCATGTTCCCTGCCACCGTAATCTGGCGCTTCATGCGGTGCGGGGTCAAGCCGAGAGGGTCAAGGGGTCGAGTCTTGACCCGCACACCTCTGGTTGGACGGATCTTCGGCAGAAGATCGGCGCTAACAAAAGTCAGGCTTATTGAAGAAGCTGCCGCCTAGGGTTCTATCTGCAAAACCTCCGCCATACTCTGGACCCAACTCGTCCACCAATAGCTCGTAGTCTCATGCCAGACTTGTGCGCATGCAGGACACCCTGGATATCCGGCGTGCCTTCCGACGTGAAACACCTTGAGTCGACGACAATGGGTAATCTGTCTGCTAAGACCCTCAATCATTAGCAGATAAGATATGCAACATTACCGCCACACTGATTCAACTCTTGCGGGGCGGGGCGAGCACTTACTGTAATTTGGACTATAATGCCGCCGGTTTGATGCATATCAAACGATGCCTCACATGCGATATGGCTTGTGTCACATGAGCAGCGTTGAGTAGTTGACTGACACAAATTGACCCACCATTTCGGACGTCTGCAGATTTAACGGTAAATTACATGTAAATTACATAGGCTAATATGCATAGGTCAATCTCGATCGCGAGTTTCACCGTGCCCTAATCGGCGGGATTGCCTACGGTTCCGAGTGCGGCCCGTGGGCGTCGCCGCACACGAGCGCCGAAACAGGTTGTGTCACTGGCAGAACTCCAAGTCTTTGCTTTCGCACATTAGAACCAGGCGAAGGTGTTCTATATCAAAATGGGCCCCGGGGCTGCGTCTCGCTGTAGCTCCTATACTAGTGTGACCCCAGAAGCTACGGATTAAGCGCCTGACCCCAGAAGCTACTGACACGCCTCCATTTCTCGCATTTCCCTGTCAAAAAGTGTGCACGGGTTACGCACAAGACGATGTACTTCCAAAATATCATTGTAAAAAAGAACGAAGGAAATCGGAAGGGATTTGCTCCCGATACAAGTCAATCTCAGTAGGGTTTCAAGGGTTTACTGACCTTGGTGAGTTGCCACAAAAAAATCTGCACCGCCGATCTTTCTGTAACTCTGCAAAGTGTTCTAAACATCTTCAATGAACTTTCTTGTTCAGTCTCCGAAGGATTCCGGGTGGCGGTATTCGAAGGATGAGAAGAGGTCTCTCGAGCGTGACATTCAGCCGCTGACCGAGATAAAGCTGACTTTCAATCTGAGCGCTTCGACAGTGTTGCCTCGGCCAACTTCGCTATCAAACGACTGATAACAGCGGTGTTCGAATCGGCAGTCTTCGGCATTGTGACCATCCATGACAATCTCTGGGCGCTTTTCCGTAGCTTCTGGGGTCAGACGTGTAATTCCGCGATGCTCAATGCAAACCTCCACCGATTTTCTTCATATTTCACACGTATGTACTATCCAGGATGCGAATGAAGTATGCAAAGTCTGACATGTATCGGAGAGGATGGGAGGGAGATATTCATGAAATACGTTATGGGCCGTAGCTTCTGGGGTCATACTAGTACGGTAGGAAGATGTCCCACTGGAGCGCCGAAGCGATAGACCAGTGACGTCAAGTGTCCGGTCTCGTCCATTCCCGTGCAGTCCACCGAGCCGCATCGCAACGGGGAGAAGAAGCCGGACGACAGTCAAACATGATTGTCCTCGAATGGGGTGCACGGTTGACACACCATCCATCGTTTGGGGTGCGCTGCGCAGCACAGCAAGTGAAGCTGTCCACCGACAAGCGGCTCCACTCCTGTGCGTTCTGCACCGTTGAGGCAAGCAGAGGGCGGCGACGGACTCCACTTCTGATTCTCCGGTAGTCTCGTGTTGTGGCGTGCGCAGTCGATGCTTTGTAGTGCGCACAGCAACTGCGGCCACTGTGGATTGGATTGTCACTTCGAGTCTCTACAGGGTGGTGAGTTACGCCCGTGTTTCGTATGTGCGCTCACTGCAGTACATATATACTCATAGGCTGACGAGCAGGTAGCATCTCCTGTCTCGTCCGACTCCATAACGACCGACTCTTCCTTCCTTCATCCTCCCGCATAACACATACCTCGCAATGCTTGCCAACGCCAAGCTCGTCGTTCTCTCCTTCGCCCTCGCCTTCGCCGGCGTTACCGCCCTTCCGCAGGGCGCGACCTCAACAGATGTCGTACTTCCAACGGGTACGGGCCTCTTCGCTACCTCCCCAACTTCTCCCACTTATGCTCCCTTCATAGAAACGATCCTCAGTGACACATCGATCGTGGTGCCCACAGGCACTGACACCGCGACCATACCCGCTTCCGCTTCCACGTCGGTACCCACAGACACGGCTACCTCCGCTCCTACGGAAAGCACCGACACGCTGCTCACGAACACTGACACGGTGACGACGTCGGTGTCCGGCGTGGACCCTTCTGGCACGAGCACCGCACTCTCATTATCCGACACGGGTCTTCCAGTCTCTGGCTCCGTCTCGAGCACGGGAGGCGTCTCGACCACCGTCGCATTCACCACTACGACGCCAGCCTCGAACAGTGTGTCGGGATCGCGTTCGGGAACCGGAACCTCCGCCGCTGCGAGCAGCACGAGCACGGGCACAAACAACAACGGCGCTGTGGCCCAGGGCCTTTCAGGGCTGACGTCTGTTGGGGTGGCTGTCCTCGGGGTGCTCGCGGGTGCTGGGCTCGCGCTGTGAGCTAGAAGCGTGCGATGGACTGTTTACGATGGACTTCTTGAGAGATCTTGGACTACTATTGTAGCTATGGTGTGGGCATGGACTCCGGCTTGATGCAATGAGCGTTGCTACACCTATTACTTATCATACCAGACCGTGAACTTTTATCCATTTTTGGCCCCGCAGCGACCTACGCACTGCGATTGACGGAGGGCTCAATGAAGTCAATGTTGGAATCCTGGCGTCAAGATGGCGAGCTCGCAGAACGAGCGCCACAGGTCCCGCCCCCCCGACGGATACCCGCGCCCTTATCTGCCCCTATTTAGCTATCTTTCGTACCGGTATATGCGGTGTATTTTATCTACTGTGTACGGCACGCGTTTGCACCGGCCAAACGCGAATCCCATTTGTGCCCGCTTGCCCTCGAACTTCTTCAGTCAAAGGCAGAGATAGTAGATTAGATTAGATTCGGTGGGCAGTTGATCCCGGATGCCGCCGGCCTAGCCGTTTAGAGAAGATTTAGCTGCGCCATTGAACTTGAACGTTTGAACTACCACGCATGACTCTACTATATATCAATTCTCTTTTTACCACCTTGCGCAGACCGGCACCATAAAGCAAGAACTCACGGCAGCACTGCGGATGAGGCGTTGACATGCAGTCCCCGGATCGATGTCTCGGACAGATCCCCGAGGATCCTGAGCTGGTGTATGTACGTCTCTGCGTGAGTCCTATGCCCATTCCTCCTTCTTATAGGTTTTCCAGAATCATATCTCTCTACGGCAGGCGAATTTCGTGCCTTCCGTGTTGAGCCTGTGAGCCTGCAGTCCGAGTCGCGGCAGTCGCTCTTGATGCCCTTGAGCTATCGGTTCAGAGACCAAGGCGTCACAGAACAGGCAGCATCAGGATCGATTACTCCCCGCAGCCACTTGTGAGTATCCTAGTCTCGTTCAATACGGCATACGGGCCCAAAGGATTCACCAGACCGAAGATGCTGTCTCGCTGTATGGTTTTTGTGATCGTTTTGTTCAGATGCTTCTGTGTCTGCATACTCCCGAACCGCAGTGGCCTGTATACCACATCGGCGCAACACGGCCCCCAAGGTGAGACTGGAACGTTCTGTCTCCTCTCGTAGGATCTTCGACACGGGCGTCGCAAAGGGATGCCAAGGTATCCGTTACATATATGCTATGGTCAGTCTCGCGGCATCACTGGGAGCGAAGCCTGTCACCAAACTGTTGCCTGAAGCCAGCACGCGTACCATGTATCGGGATGGCTCCGATTACTTCTCGGGATAGTAGCGTCGTCTGACAGGTGGCTGCCGACTCAATACCGCGGCATCGAGCGCCGATCACGGCCTTCAGGGGGAAGGGGCTTCTAGCACACGACCGGACTCGGAACCTGCCACCCCAATTTGCATGCTCGTGAGAGTACTGTGCGTGCGAACGACGGAGACTGGCCACGATGTGATCGAGGCCGGAGGCGGGCGAGGTATGTGGCCTAGTCTGGACCGCGTCTGGCGCGCGCACGCATTCGCCTACCCCTCATGCCCTTGCTCCGTAGGTCAGCCTCTGCCGGCTTTTTTCTCTGTACACCCACTCTATCTTGGACAGCCCGGAGCCTCCTTTACTCGTCTGCGTCATCAACGGAATTCGGTCCCACTCAACCACTGGCGCCCAGTTTGCTGGAACAGCCTAGCGCACATCGATGTCGTGGTTCGCGCACACGGATGCACTGCCGGCACCACTGTCGTTCCATGGGCAAACACCGCGCGATCTACTGGCCAGCCATGCTAGCTTTGACGAGCATCTTACAACAGTCGAACACCAACGCGATGTTCAGAGTGCTGATACGGCCATAAGCTGCGCAGCCGCAGCCGCCAGTCTCCGATTGTCGACCGTGCCGTCCCCCTATCTCCCGCCCCTCGACCAACGCGAGCCAGAGCTTATTATAGACTACGAGCGCGCGATCACCCCCGGTTCCGCGCCCGCTATATCGTGCCCTCCGTCGTTTCAAGCGGCCCTCGCTGGCCCAGAGATCGCCGCCGTTACAAGCCCTTCGTCTCACGCTTCCGGCACGGTCCCCTACCACAGGCAACGCGGAAGGCCGACCATGCCATCCTCCCTTGCACACGCAAAGCTCCACGTAATGTCCACGGTCGACATGGAGTCTGAGCGGCTCGCGCGGGCGTGTGGCCAAGGTCCGTTCTTCTTTTCCCGACCTTCCTTCCCCCAAGGCAACCCTGGAGGGCCGAGCTGGCAGGACCAGTCCTGCGGTCTTGAGGTGACGGGGGAGAGAGCGCCACCAAGACGGTCCGATAGTCCTCCCCGATGGCACTATCCTGACTTCTCTGGCTCTGGTCCAATACCCGCGCGGGGTACACGTTCGCGACCGCACTCCGTGCGCATACCTATGAAGATGTCACTCGCGCCTCCAGATTTGACTCGCCCTCGCTCGGTTTCTCAACCGGCTTCCATCCCCGTGTACTCCCCTTCGAATCCACATGGTCTGTTGCGCTCTCTGGAGACCGTTCTAGACCGCAATAGCGTTCGGCTTGGCGAGTGCCTTGATGTGCAACGCGTCCATGAGCAATGGGCGATCTACGGCCGCCGGAGCTCGGCCTTGGGCCTGGACGCTCTTACAGAACAGGAGGGTTGTACAGCTGGTATGTACAATTTACATCAAGTATGCTGGGCCTAACTTCAATGCGATTACCGCATAGCGACCTTCGGTTCCCCGGTATGTGTGGCAGTCAAGTGCGCTTCGATGTCCACCGTGATAGGCGGTTATCAACATCCTATTCCCTGGGTCGTTTACGCATGCATCGAGGAGCTGAACCGTACAGGTAACAGCACACTGCATCTTCCCGTGAAGTCGTAGCTAAAGTGTGAATGACGCAGGGATCTACGAGCAAGGCCTCTTCCGCGCTGTACCAAATCGTTCTAGGCTGGAAAAACTCGTGACTGTATTTGACCGCCCGACGTCGTTCTTCAAGGGGCCCGAATCGGGGCCTCTCTGTCCTCCATGCATGCCAACCCCGTCCAATACCCGTGCATCGCTCCGCAAGGAGTCTACGGCGGACGTGTGCGCCCTCCTGAAGTCGTACTTAGATGGTCTCCCGGAGCCCCTCCTTGACGAGAATATCATCATCGCACTGCATTGTCTTTGCGTCGTACCTACCGAGTTGCGCGAGCAGCAAACTTCGGGAGACGAGAAGCTGCATCATCCGAGACCCGTTCATGGCTATCCTAAGGGCAGCGCGCACTTCCTCGCTCCGTCCCATGCGTCGCATTCCCTGAGGGTTTCACGCTCTCGTTCCCGGGCGTGTTCGGACACTGCCTCATCCTCTTCGGCTTCGCCAATGTGGATGACACCTAGCGAGAAGCGGTTCGCCGAGGCGTCACTTGAGGATATCCAGATCCGGATCGCCCAACATCTCCTGCGACTGGCCACACCTCCGCTCTGCTCGCTCTTCGCGTACCTATCCGGTTTCTTTGTTCTCTTGCTGCTGTGTCCAGACAATGGCATGGCCCTCGACGACATTTCACGCATGTTCGGACGTGCACTCGCAGGGGGCCCAGCGACAACGCGCCACACGGTCCTCATGTGGCTCCTCGAACGATGGTCCTCGATCGCAGACGGCCTCTTCGCCGTCGGTGATCCTCCAGGTCCAGACCGCGGAGAGGACTTACCATTGTCCGCGTACCCCCACTACACCCCCTCTGCGACGCCAAATCACAATGTCACCCCTCCGACTCTTCGAGACCCGGCCACGCCATCGTCTCCGCTGATAGAGACGTCCACCCACGATGCTCGAAGGGGCTCGATTGTCTCGTCCGACGGGGCTGAATCGGTCTTCACCTCCTCGACGGCGGAGAGCGACGATCGATCCCTCGGGATCGGTACGCCGTTCAGCGGCGAGTTTGCCTCGCTGCCTCTCTCCGCCGTGCGGGAATACGAGTCCGAGCCGGATTGGGAGGATGCGATGTTTCGTCCAGCAGAAGCAGACAGGTCGGTCGAGCAGGATGTCTGCAGCAAGCATGCTCCCGCTCCGAGCCCGCGCATCGGTCCGTGCGCAATTTTCACAAAACGTGGGTACCGATTTCAGCTTTCCGATGATAGCTGAGCGATTAATTCTGGTGCATTAGGGGAAGATATGTTCGTCGAACTCGGAGATTCGTTCAACCTCACCTCAGATCACGTGCGCTCTTGCTGTGGGTCTTCTAGTCTGTGTATTGTGTTGGGGGACGAGCTGACTGGGTCGTGTATAGCTCCGGATGGTCATTCGCCACCACCTGAGTCAGACTACGAGACCAATCCGGTCTCCGAAGAGCACTCACGTGCGACCTCGCGGGCATCGGACGTGTCTGCAGGAATCAGCAGGTGTCCGCCGGATTCCCCTTTGTTCACCGCCCAGACACTCGAGCTCCACGAGAGGAATCCTCCACGTCCCTCCGCTTACGACCAACGCAGGTACCCGGGATGATCACGGTCGTCCTCCATGTTGGGCTTGCCGCGGCTGCCATATGGAGCGTTCCCGCTACCTGCGTCTTCTTACGCCCGGTGCTTCCAGGATCTGTCATATACACGAACACAGAACACCCTCTGCCTCCATTCCCAAGGCCTGCATCAGGACGGACATTCCTGTTCCCCTACATAAGTACATTTCTGTTATTTTTTTTTACTTTCGGAATTGTTGTACGACGTCGCGCGTCTTGCTTGTACAGGTGATATATGGAACCTTCTCGGCTCGATCATCCCACTTACTTAGCCCCTCGTGTCTCCACTGTATCATACTCGTCTCCCATTCCACACGTAGCCCCTAAGCCTTCTCCCTCTCGCACGCCCACGCATCAATCACGTTGTGTCCTCCCCGATGCGCATCTACCAGCAGATATAAATCCTCAAGCCCTGCGCAGATGCATATATCTCCCAGTCGATAGTCGTCCGCCCTCCCATCCGTCGTCCACGGCATCACTATGGCAAAACATTCTGTATCATTACACTCTGCCTCGTCGTCAACTTTTCCGCCAGAATATCAAGAGACGTCTCCGCCCAATGGCGACCGCCGATTGCGCGGCCTAAAGGTGTCGAACGCGTTCATGGATGTTTCGCAGACGTCGCATGTGGGAAGAGCCTGAAGTTTGCGATGAAGGTGGGCTGAAGAACTGGACCTGCAGGCACCTGGGCCAGCGGCCCCTCCGTGCCCACCCGTAGCGCATCGCGGTACGCCCCGCCGCTCCCATGTCGTCAATGCGAGCGCTGCAGGACGGCAGCCGCAGCCCCGGCGCGGTCTACGCGTTGCGGAAAAGAGGACGCATCGGTGCAGGGTCGCAGAGACCGCTTGAGTCAAGAGTCTATGGTACACGGAGGACGGGACGAGGCGCGGTCGCGACGCACGGTGTTCAACGTTCAGGCCCTCTGTTCTCCGAAAGCGGACGGCGAGCGCGGTCTTCTCCCCTGAGGGGACCAAGCCGGAGCCCGCGGACGACCTGACGCAGTCGTCCGCCTCCGGGTTTGCGCGGCCGACCAGGCCCCTTCCTCGCAGAACGATCCCGCAGGGAAGGCTGCCCTCTGACCGTCGCGCTGATGTCAGGGCTGATCTATATCGCCCGCACCGGCTGCCCTGAGAGCCTAGCACCATATATGAGTCCAAACACAAGACGTTTGGGCGGGTAACCGTACGTGCTCTGGTTGGGTGCCCTTGCATACGTCGATGTCCGGACACTACGATGCTTGTATGCGTTGTTGCGATGCGTGTGTCTACATGTATGGTTGCCGTGCTCTAGTTTCTGTGGAGCGAGGCAGACCGCGCGAGGCTCCACCAACACGCCACGGCCAGCGATTCTGCATCCATGGTGTGCACCAGGGGAAAGCAATCTGTCCCCGCTGGACAGCCGTCAGTAGACTTCTAGACCTAACAAGGGAGATACGCTGGAATGAGAGTGGCAGGGCGCGTACACAAACTGAGTCGAACCTCTCGTACCACAGGCGCGGCCCGAACGCGGACGGGCAGCCGACTCAAGCACAGCAGTGGATCAGGGGAACGGCGTATAAGCCCTGAGCGTTAGAGCTTATGGCAGCCCGGAACACCAGTTACGAGGACAAAGGAGGCGCACTGCCCAGGAACATCACCCATACCCGCCCACGATTGTCATGGAAGGAGGCAGCACTGCAGCGTACGGCTCGGTGCGAGTGCGAGGACTCGCGTGTATTGTGCCCTAGCAGAGCCAGAGCTCCTCTTGCTGATGCCGGGCGCTGCTGTCCGCGTTTGCCCGCCGGGTGCTGAGCGCCCGCGAAACATTTACTTATCGAGATGGTCGCGCCGTCCGTCACGGTCGGCGGACGCGCACGTGCCCGGCGTCGACGTCGGTGAGGGTGAGGCGCACTCGGAGAGCTGTGCTGGGCCTGGCGGAGGTCTCGTGCGAACGGCCGTTTGGGACGTCCTTTGCAGGTAGGGGTCTTCCACGCGCGTCAGCTAAGCTTCAGAAGGAGGCGGATCGTCGAAGGAGAAGGACGTGCGCTGCATGACGCGCATCAACTTCGCGGCCGTATGCGCGTTCGCGTTCGCACAGATGGTCTGGCGGCGAACTCTAAGGCAATATCTATTTCGCGTCCATGAGTGATACGTACCAGGACGGGCGCAACGGAGAGCAAGAGCAAAGCAGCGGGCAGCCTCCGCATGCGCGAGCACCTTGGCGTGCCCGTGAATCTCACCCTCGCGGTGGGCACGAAGCCTCCCGTGGGAACGCGAGCGGGAGGTTACGTGCCCGCCACCTGCCAGACGCTGAGCGCTGAAGTTTGAATGACAGCGCGGTTAGAAACGATAGGCTCTCTAGAACGAAATACGCTCAGGTCGGGCAGCAGCCGCAAACGGGTCGTTGGAAGCCCAGAGCAGGGGGGGGGGGTCCAGGGTGCGTTCAAGGTCCCAAGCTGGACGCGTTGAGAGGCCGTTGATGGGCTGAGCGGGACTAGCCTTCGAGCATTCGGAAACCCTCGAGGGAGGCTGACACTTCTTCCCCTCCACGAAGGGCCTCCAGCCTGAGATTGATCTCAGTCGACGCGGGAAGCTTGTGTGGGTTGAACGCACTCGCGAGTCATGTTCTTCTGAGGGGCCCGGGACGCGGCAGACGCCTTGAGGACAACGGTGTTTTTTGTCGAAGGGGCCTATCGTTTCGGGAGCGCTGTAGGTAGCGTGATGGGCACCACGGCGACGTACGCTTCCCCACATTGACACCGCATTGTGGCCTCGCATGACATTTGGCGAGCGGGGGCGCAGCCAGAAGGTTGGGGAGTCGCACGTCGACCACCAGTGCAAGTGCTGCGGGTGGGAGGAACATCAACGGCAGGTGGCTAGACGCGCCGCGGGGCGCGTTGGCGCTCGACGTCGTCCCAAGCGCTGGCGCTTGCTCTCTCGCTCGACCGCAGGCGACGCGACGTCAGCTGGAGGGTGGGGAAAAGGACGACGTGAAGGAAGATCGCGCGAAGGAGGGCCTAGGCTTGGGAAGGGCTCGATGAGGGGTCAGTTGGACGGCGGCTTCCTCTGACGTCGCTCGTGCAAAAACCGACTCCCTGCCCACGTGCGCTCCATGATCTCTCCCCGACGCCTCACCATCTCGTCACACCAACCTGCCCCTACTCCCGCCAGCTATATATACCCCCCCCCCGTCTCCGCTTCTGCCTTCCCCGACTCTCACTTCACGTCCCAGTCTCCAAACGCTCACGCTCACGACTACCTTCCCTTACACGTCCTTCATATACCTCATCCGCTCACCAAGATGAAGTTCAACGCCGTCGCTTTCACTATTGTCGCTGTCGTCGCCCGCGTGCACGCCCAGTCGTCCACTGCGGGTAGCGCAGCCCCCACCTCCACCAACGGTATCTCGCCCTGCATCCTCACCTGCATCCAACAGGCCGCCTCAGCCAACGGCTGCAGCAGCGCGTACGTCCATATTTTCTTCCTCTCCTTTGCTTCGTTGTTTTTCTCCGTGCCGCTCTCCTTCCGCCCCGTCCTTTCTCTCCCCCTGAACCCCCTTGTCCATTCTCCTCAGTGGAGCAAGTGGCATGTTCGATGACAGCCCCCCTATTTCCGCATCCCGCGAGACAGCGAACTGACGCACTGTTATCCAAACAGCCTCGACGTGAGCTGCCTCTGCAGCAACACGCAATTCCAGCAGTCCGCCCTCTCTTGCCTCGAGAGCTCGTGCTCCTCGTCCGACGTCCAGGCCGCCCAGGCTCTCCAGTCCGCGGAGTGCGGTGCCGGTCAGTGTTCATCTCTTCTCCCCATCATATTCTGCGCCTGCGCGCCACGCCATCTGACACGCCTCGCACATTCGCGTACTACGTATCGTGTCGGGCAGGTAGGTGCGCCGTTCCGTTCAGCTACGGTGGGCGGTGCACCGTTCCGTTGCAGACATATGTTACGGCGGGCACTGTGCCTTGTTTTAAGCAGGAAAATATGTGCGGCACTTTTGGGCCCCGCAACGTGACCCTGACATTTCCATCTGTTTTGTCACGTTCTTCGTAAACTGGGACGTGATATTGGCACGTTGCGTCGCCTGGATGTTCAGTATAAAGGTCCTCACATGGACCACCGCCGTTTGCCCGCCGTTGCGCTGCGTGATGACGCGGGCACACTTGGTCATGACGCGGCGAAACTTTGCCATTTCGCGGGGACACTTTGCCCGTGTCCGATCCCACGTGTCGATCCGCGCGAGACGGTTTCGCGCAGGCGCGCCTAGGCCCCTCCGTCTTCTTCCCCGCATCCCAACGCTGACGTCTTCCCTCCCGGCAAACAGCGTCCTCCGCGGGCTCCTCCGCCGCAGCGAGCGCGACCTCGACCGTCAACTCCCTGTCGTCCTCCGAGGCGTCCTCCGCGGCCTCGGTCTCCTCCTCGCTTTCCTCTGCAGAGCAGTCCGCGTCGTCCGCGCTGACCTCGGGCGCGTCCTCGCTCTCGTCCCGCATCAGCTCCGCGACGAGCGCGGCGAGCAGCCACGCGAGCTCTGCAGCGTCCTCTGCGGCGTCGCAGACGAGCAACGCGGCCATGAGCGGGATGCGCGGCGAGTGGGGCGTCGCGAAGGGCGGTCTGCTCGGCGTCGCCGCGGCCATGGTGGGCGTCGTTGCCGGGGCTGCGTTCGTCCTGTGAGCGAGTTGAAGCGCGGGAGAAATCGATTCCAGGAGTGCAGGTTGTTGGTTCATGGAGAACGATGTCCGGTCTTGTTGATTCAACCTACCTACGTACCTCGTGATCGCTGATCTTCGCTCATGCGGGGATCTGCGAACGTGATTGGACTTTGCCAACGATGGTTGTATTTTTGGCGCATACATCACATATGATACATTTTGTTGTACCGGTTATAAGAAAACGTTCGGCGAGCTCGATATCGAGAGTATTACGAATTCGTGTGCAGGAGTACGTTAGCAGGTAACATTTCGCGCGTCCGCGGAGCTGTCCCTGTCGGCCGAGGAGAGAACTTGGCAGACTAGTGTTCGTTTTGTGGGTACGCAAGAGCAGAGAGTCCCCGGACTATAATTCCCAGTGGGAAGCGGGCACTCCGAGGGATTGACACAGTGGGCTTTTGCAAAGGCGACTTCGGAGGGGCACTTGGCTCTACACACGCTGAGCATGCTCTCGCTTCTACTTCGACGGGCTATCCACACACCGAATATCGCACGCGGATTCGTTACGGGGCACAGCGGGGCGGTCGATCCCCCCTACCCGCACCCCCGCGGATTCTCTTGCGCTTCAAGTTCGCACTGGCATCTCTGATACGCTCTGGGCCGAGTCCGAGTCTGTCCGGAGGAATCGCGCCGTAATCGAGTTCAACGTCAGGATCGCCTGCTCTGGCCTCGGACCTCCGCCGCCTAGTGGTGTCGGTGTCGTCCATGGCCGTCCCTGCTCTGTCAGTCACTTCCTGGAAGTCGGTCTTTCACGCCCTGTGGGCTTGGGCTTGCGTAGCACCGCTGCTCTCGTTGCGCCCTACATGTGCAGTTTACGGTTCCGCACGGTTCACTTCCGCTGGGGAGCGCGCCGTTCGTTCGAGCTCTGCAGACGGTCTCCCTCGGAGCGGGCCCGTGCCGGTGCCAGTGGGCTAGGTGTCGTCGCCCGGCGTGCGTGCCGCCAGGTGCTCATGTACGTGGACGTCTACGCAGAAGGCTCGGACGCGACACGCACGGGCAAGGCCGGATCCCAGTCCCCACACGCATGTTCTGGGATCGTGCAGTCCCAGAACGTGCAGTGTTTCCATGCACGCAGACTCGGGACGAGATCGGCGTGGCGCTCCGACGCTCCTCGGGCGCAGAACGCGGCCCGCCGGTCCCAGCGTCGAAGACGAGGACGGGGCGTCCACCAGCAGGCGGGCGGCGAGAATAGACGGGGGGCAATGGCAGGGGCGATCCCGACGGCGCTTCTGGTCCGGTGCCGGGTTGGTTCCGTGCGGAATCGAAGACTTCGTCGAGGTGAAGCGCAAGAACGCGAGGGAGATTAGGGTTCGGGAGGGGCCTCTCGGGCGGCTTCAGTCGACCATCCCCTGTGACGGTCGCCCCGCAACGATCGTTTGCGCGAGGACGGCGGCTGGCCCGATAGAGCAGAAGCAGAAGCAGAAGCAGACGGTCTGATCGTATATTTTTTTCCCCAAGCTGAGAGGCTCTATACCTATACCGGAACGGCGGTGGTGTAAGCCCACATCGACCCAGGGGTCCTCCGCACCTCGACGAACTTCCACCCCGCAGAGAGCGCGAGGGCCGCCATCTCGTCTTCCGTCCGTTCTTTCGCGTCGAACATTCCCATCATCTGGTCATAGCCACAACAAAACAGGTATGTTCAGACAAGCCGAGTGTCGCCGCGTGAGGCTGCGTACGCACCATGATGTCAATCAAGTACCCGTGTATGTTGGCGACGCCGAGGTTCGGAAGGAGCGGCGACTCCTTCGTGACGAACGGGAACGTCACGGCCGAGCCGTCCGCGCCCTCGTACGCCGCCTGGTCCGCACACGCGTTGGGGAGCAGCATATCCCCGATGAGCAGCTTCGTTTCTGGCCCCGCTGCACCGCGGAGCTGGCTCAGAATCCTGCATGGGGCACGCCAACGATTGAGAGGCAAGATACGAGAACGATCGAGAACAGGGACGTACTTGCGGCAGTCCTCGTCTCTCCAATCGTGCAGTACCAGCCGCAGGAGGAAGACGGACGGTGCGGCGATTGGGCCGAGAGCCGGGAGCGTCAGCGCAGGCCACGGCTGGAAGAAGTCGCGCGGGCGCCACGACATGCGCCCGGAGTCGAAGAGCTCGGCGTATTGCGGTCCCCAGGCCTACCAAGACCGAGACCGAGACCAAGACCGAGGTGGTCAGAAACGACTATCGGACGAGAAAAGAATAGAGGTGGACGTACAGATTGGGCGGTGGAGACGACCTGTTCCCTGTCTTCGACTACGACGTGGATATGGGGGTGCGCTTGCGCGACGAGGATAGACTGGGCGCCGATGCCACCGCCGACGTCGATGAGCACTGACCCCTGAGGAAGGTCCTCCCAAGAAAATCCTAAACGTTCAGAGTGATAGCAGCGTCAGTGCACGACATGTGCGGTCGCAGACCATAATCGCACCTTGGAGGATCTGGTTCTTGATCTCCCACTGCCGAGTTCCCGTCATCGCATGTCCGAACCTGACGAACCTGTCTTCGTTCTCGGGAAGTTCAAGCCACGGGAAGTACCCAAGTTGGGTGTTGAAGGCGAGGTTGAATGGTGCCCCATAGCGGGCGACTTGTCCCTCGGTAGTCTGGGCAGCGGGCAGGGCTTCCGGGGGTGGTGCGCGGTAGTCGAAGTTCACGTCGGTGCGGCGGAGCGAACGCTTGTCGGGCAAAGCCCACTCCGTCAGGCAGGAGATGAACTTGAGTGCCTCGTCTCCCCTGGGAAAAAAAACATTGCAGCGTCAATTGCAAGGGATTGTTGGCATAGTTTATCGATGTACGTACGTCAAGGCGACGAAGGCGGCTACTCCATCGGTGTCATTGTACTTCTTCTCTGGCCTGCACGATAGTCAGAAGACGTTTCGGAAGCCGAAGGAGAGGTGTTATTCACGCTTCTCGTAGCTGCGCCACAGTCTTGCCAGAATCAATGTACGATGATGGGCGGTTATTTGCGAAGATGTCGGGCTTCACCTCACGGAGGTAGTGCCCCGTTGCGAGGAGGCGGAGGATGTGACCTAATCACCGATCAGCATTTACTGCGAATATAGCACGCGAGTGTTTGCCTCACTTAGATGCGCAGGGGTAAGGGGTACAGTATCGGCTGTAGTGGCAGTCTTCGAGTTCGCACGCAAGTCGAGGACCAAGCGGTAGATCTCCCGCACGTGGAGTCCCTCGGGGCCCGCCTCGCGCAAGATTTCCACGATATTGGCCGCCTCAAGGAACCGGATTGCAGCGGAAAATTGGCCCTAGTTGGCGCAGAGTCATGTGAGCTGGCACATGGGGGAGCGAGAGGAAGACGTACCGCCTGGACGTCTTCCATCAAGCCATACCATGGCTTGTTGACAGTGGTGGCGAGCTGACCGCAGGCTGCTACAATGCGCTTCGATGCAGCAGCGACCGCCGGGTCGCCTTTCAGCGCCTCAGCGAGTTCCTCCTCTGGCCTGTGTTGTGCGGCATAGTAATAGGGCTCGTCAAGTGAGGGAAATTCGATAGGGTCGTTCGGAGTACGCTCGCGATAGACGCGCTCGATGTCGTCTATCGCGGTGCCAATCGCGGCGTGCAGTGCGCGCAGGGTGGTGAAGGTCATTGCGACAATCCCGAGTGAAGGGGGCGACCGCGGTCGACGCTGTATTCGGCGTATATAAGTTATACACGCAAGAGGAGCATTAGGAGACATACAGGAAGATAGGACCAACACGCTGGTACACCTTCATGTCGGAAAACATGTCCGCCAATCCGTGAACGGGTGGGGCGTACTCGAGCTTCTCGAACGTCATATAGGACCGCCCAGCGTTGCTGATAGACGGCAAAACAGCACCACCGATCTTCTTCTGCGCTATGTGACTTCCGTCTCTTACATCTGGCGAGCTCGGCGGAAGATTATAATCAGTACGTCCAAATTTGGGGAAGACTTACCTTCCTGTGATTTAAGCGACTACTAACGCCTACGAAACATGCTCTTGAAGAGGCCCGAGATGTAACACCTGACCTGCGCCGAGATGGCATAGTCCCCATAGAATTTGCTGATGGGACGCTTTTGTTGGGCGATACGTTATCGACCTGCTTCTCGATGTGATGGCTGTTCCATAGGTTTTGGACCACGCCAAATTGAGCGATCACGTCCGAATGTAGTCGCTCGTCACGTCATTTCATTTTCTCGCGGCGGGGATTACATGTTGGGCAATGGGTAAATGTTTTCCATCGTTCGGCTATTGGGAACCTGGACAAGTACAAGACCGGTAAGTAGTGGACACTTACGGCATGCGTATAGACCAGCTGATGGATATCGGCGGCGCGGCGGACAAGATTTACTTATTACTCTCATCTCCATCACGCTACATTAGCGCTGATTAGGACGATGGGCGTCGAAACCGAACGGTAGCAGGCGCCACGACTGGTCGCAAATGGTGTGGGCGATGGGCGGTGCTCGCGAAGGCATCACATCGCGCGAGGTGAGCATCCAGATACACGGCAGGCATTCCCATGTTTCCGTGCATAGCAAAGTCGACGAAAGTGGCAGGAGTCAACCCCCCGCCGATTTACCCGGGGTTTCAAAGGCTTTTGTTCAGAGAAGCCACATCTTTACGAATAGCTTACCTCGTGCCTCTCCTTTTCATAGAATTTTCCCTGGTCGAAAACCCCGGAATGCCTGCCGTGATAGGTACCATGAATCCTAGGGCGCTCATTTCATATATGGTGCTGTAGCTGTATTGCTATACATGAAAGGCATGAGTAGTGTGATTTGAAGCGACTGGCGTTTATGAAACTCACTGATGTCGAACAACGAAACAATGTCGAACCAGTCACTAGAGTACAGCAGTTTGCCTATCGATAAGGCTTTTCGAGTCGAAGAACATGCCGAGGTCGCTTTAGAGGGGAACTAGATGTGAGCCCAGTTGGGTATTCTGACGTTCTGTGGCCCCCACCAGACGCGTCCCCCAGCAGGGTCAACAGGAAGAGTCTATCGCGTCTCTAAGACTCTTGATGGCGTCTCGAGTGGTGCATCGGACCCGGATCTGGTCCGCTTCCCAACCGGCCTGAGCATGTTTTTGCGGGAGGAGCTACCGATATGCAAAACGCTGTGGCATGATAGTTGTCATCTTGGGAACGAGCTGGGTCATGGCGGCATCTTCACCATGAAGCAGTGGCGTTGAGCTGCGAAAACAACTAGATATTTCTGAGCTACATATGCCACTTGGCGCGATCGAGGGCGGTGCTCCAGAGAGGCAGATTAGCACGGAACATAGCTCATCCAATATGAAGCGACGCCCGGCTCGAAGTCTCCCGGTTTCTTCACTTCCGATGGTCAGAGTGAAATCGCATGTTGACAACACGCAGCTCCGGATGGGGAGAAACGGTGCAGAGGTCTATATATATGCATATGGAGACCTAAATGTGCTTGGATTGTGAGCTGAGCGTCGTCAAACGTAGGATGGGGTGTGCAAGTCGGAACGCTGATGGACTTACGAGGTGGCAGATGCGCTGCATTATCGCCCTCCGAGGGCTTCAGCCCCAGTCTCGGCAGAAATTGTTGCAGACAACGAGAGCTCGAATGATAGATAATACCACTTGCAGTTGGAATGCAGTCGCAGAGAAGAAGGCTTCGTTGATGTGGACGGAAGCACGTAGTATATGGGCGCCTAGTGATCTCAATATCGTGCGATCATGAAGTGATCCTCAGCGCCCTGAGGTTCGATTCAGTCCGGCTGGTGACTTCATAAACCGACGCCGACACGCTCAAATCATACCTCGAGGAAGTGCTTCCGTCTGTTTGCAGGGGCCACGGTCTTGGTCCTGGATGTCGACGCCGAGCCGCTGCTGTCCAGGGTCCTTTTTGCTTGGCAAATGGAGAGCGAAACGAAGATGCATCAGGAAAAGCACTTGGCTCCGTGGCTGCCGTCGGGCCAGAGCCCTCGGCTCCGTCCGGAGACGCCCGTCCGATCCGTCCGGAGGCGCTGTCCCCGTACATGTACGAAAGGGCTCTTCGACAGTCGTACGAGTCGCTAATCAAGGGTACACAAAGTACCATAGGCAAGATCGAGGCCGTACCGACGAATAACACACCTACATACATGTTGGTGCCAAACGGGGATCATCAGTTATTGTGCGTCTCTATTCAAGATTTGAATTTGTTCGGGATGACATCCTGCAATCGACGACCCAAGACAGTCCCATTTCTTGCAGCAGACCACAACATAGTCCCGTCCGGAGTAAACGCAACATGGGTGACCCAAGGACCGTGATCGGAAAGCGTCGCCAAGCATGAACCATCGCTCGTCCTCCACACCCTCACCGTCTCGTTCATAGATGCAGAGGCGATATACTTCCCACACGGGGAGAAGCACGCCTTCTGCACCCGATGATCGTGCCCCTCAAACGGCTGAACCATGGCACGTGTGTCACAGTGTGTGCGTCCCATATCTTCATCGTCTTCTCGTCCGACGTTGAGAGCAGCAGCTGACCGTCCGGGGAAAAGGCGACATCAAGGACCCTATCCTTGTGCGCCTTCCAGAGCAGAGGGTCCTGCGTGGTTGTGAGGTCCCAAATGCGGATCTTCCCATTTTGATATCCAACAGCGACGTGTGTACTCGAGCGACTGAATGCGGCTGTGATGGGTCGATCATCATGACGAAGCTCCCATTGGGAATGAAGTGCGAGGTATGTGCCAGACACAACATCCCAAACATCACAACACATCGAGTCATGGACTAGCAGCCAGCGACTGTCGGGAGAGAATAGAGGCTTGATGTGTGTTGTCGTGTTGGTGCCGTCAAGTGGTATCGGTCGGAATGACCGTCCATCCCAGAGCCGTATATTGCTGTCGACGTCTCGGGATGCAATGCGGGTGCCGTCGCTGGACCACGCGCAGCCTTCGACGATGTCCGGGTGACCTTCGAGGGTGGCAACTTGGTGTGAGCTACGAGTAATGTCCCAGATGGCGACCGTCCGGTCTCCACCTGCGGACGCGATGTATCGATTGTCTGGGGAGAATGCGAGCTCCCGGACCTCTCTGTCATGGGCGAACCACTCTTGCGAGATACATGCATCTCGGGCATTCCAGAGCATGATGGTGGAATCCCAGGAGGCCGTCGCTACCCACCGCCTGTCTGAGGAGACGGCGAGTGCGTTGACGTGTGAGTCATGCCCAGGTCTGCCAGCTACTCGAGTCAGCGTCCAACGCAGAATCGTGGTCGGTGAATGAGACTCACAGTATCGGACGTCTTCCGGCAGTGCCCATGTCTCACCGAGTGAGCTGCTGATCTCGTCGGGCAAGGAGATGGTCTTCCGCACGTTCAGGACTGGGCCGCCGGAAACCGTGAATAGTACGCGATGGAAGGGATATCCGAGCAGGATCTTCTCCACTGCTGTGCAGAGCTTCACAATGACAGGTCGACGACATTGCCTATATAGAGATCCCAGGTCGGAGTCCCAGAGGACCACAGTGACATCTATTATTGCTGTAACTTGTGAAGCGCGTAAGTTGCGGACGGCATATTGGAGTCTCTCGGTATACGCTGGTATCCACCATGTCAAGGAGATCCGGCGATCGTCGCCTGATTGAGAAGGTGGCATAGATAATGATGATAATTTAGATTCTGTGAGTTGTATGACTATTAGGAGACCGAGTGGGACACGAACGAGTATGTCTCCCAATCTCAAGCGGACTAGCATGCGCAGCTGCGGCCGACGAGATAGTAGATCACCTGGCTCAAGAGGACCCCATGCGTCTATTGACAAATCCTCACAGGTGAGACTTTCGATGTTCGGAAATGCTGAAAGGAAGTGGAGGAAAGCGGTGTGGGTTCGGAACCTAGTGTAGTGGATACTGAGGTTCAAGAGGCCAATCGCAAATTCATCAGGAAACCTGGGAATCACTTAATGCCCCTTAAAATCGCCTTTAAGGGCATTAAGGCGCTTAAGATGGCTTTAAGGCCGTCTAAGACGTAAGCATTAAGATGCTCGATTAAGACGCATTAAGACGATTAAGACGGGCGAGTGCAAAAACGTTCTGCACCGTCGTATGGCATACCGGCCTCTGTCACAATGTCTGCACAAGTTCCAATAGTTCTCTCACTCTGCTCTTCTCAACCCTTGGCACGTATGCTGCATGGTTTACACAGTCGAGGGCGAGCAGCTGGAAAATATGCGTGGGAGAGCTAAGTGGCTTAAGGCGCTAAGCCATTAAGCTAATGCACGGTTTACTGATGTGCAGACGGGCGTCGAATCTCAAATGGGACTCGTCCGAGCCACATCTCTCTTCCACATTCCTGGAGGCCCCATAGATGCTCGGCCGGCATGCTTTCCAGATGGACCATTCTATCTAGTCGAATCCCTCTCTTTGACAGGTCGTCCGCCATCTTTCCCCTCCCCTCCGACGATTATCTCCTCATCTCGTTCTAAGACATCCGTAGTCCGCGTAGGTCAAACACCGCGCGCCGCCTTAAGCAAACGTCCTGTGAGTGTCTCGTTCACTGCGGGTCCCGCTGAGTTTACCGATAGTGTCGCGCGGACGGCGGTGTTCCTTCGGGACGGGACACAACAGGACGCGAAGAGCGGACGACTCATCTGTCCCGTTGATTGTGCGATGCGTTGCAGCGGCAGCTCGACGGCGCAAGCAAGACAGTCTGCGGGCATCGTTGGCTGCTGAAGGCCCTTTTGTGTTTCGTTGTGCCTTGCAATCTGGTCGGAGCGGCACGTCTTCAAGTTCGGAATGGATCACTTTGTGTCCCGTCAGCCAGGAACGGGTCAGACACTTTGCGTGTCGTATGACTGAGAACACCGCCTTCGCAAGCACCTCAGGTCGTCGACGCCTCTCCGCCGCTATTGTAGGTCCATCCGCTTCAGAGCTGGAGTGCGAAACGAAGAAGGTCGTTCTTCATGTCTCCATGGCGGCGTTGCGATTTGCACGTTAGGTGACCCGTGCTTTCTACGTTGTATGTCCGTAGTGTCACAGCGATGGAGTGACAGGCTCGTAGAATCCATCACTTCCTGGGAGGAGAAGAAGCGCGTGTGATTCTGCAGATACAGGACGCTCTGCGACAGTCGTACATATCGCCAAATGAGGGCACACAAGGTACCCTAAGCGAGATCGAGGCTATACTGAAGAACCAGATACATATATCCTGACGTAGACGTACTAGATGCGAAGCCAAACGGGGCTCGTCACCATATTGTACATCCCTATCTACAGCTTGAATTCGTCCGGGATGACATCCTGTAACCGACGACCAAAGACAGTTCCATTGCGGGCTGCGGACCACAACATCGCCCCGTCTGGGGTGAATGCAACGTGTTGGACCCAGTCACCGTGGTAGTCAAGTGCCGTTAGGCACGATCCATCGCTCGTCCTCCACACCCGCACTGTGTTGTCGCAAGATGCAGAGGCGATGTACTTCCCACACGGGGAGAAGTGCGCCTGGTATACCCAGTCCTCGTGTCCCTTGAGAGACCGGAGCATGGCACCTGTGCGCGCATTCCATACCCCCATCGTGTGGTCGTCCGACGCCGAGAGCAGCAGCCGATCATCCGGCGAAAAGGCCACATCGACGACCCTAACCTTGTGCGCCTTCAAGGACAAATGCTCCCGTCTAGTCGCCATGTCCCAAACGCGGATCGTCCCATTCTTGTATCCAACAGCGACGCGTGTGCTCGAGCGACTGAATGCGGCTGTGAGGGGGTCACTGTTCTTGCGATGTCGCTGTAATGGGAGTGTGAGGTATGCACCAGATAGAACATCCCAAACGCGACAGCTGTCCAGATCGTGGACAAGAAGCCAGTGGCTGTCAGGGGAGAATAGAGGCTTGATCTTTGTTGTGTGGTTGACGCTGTTTAGGTGTAGCGGCTGAAATGTTTGTCCGTCCCACATTCGGACAGTGTTCTCGCCGTCTCGGGATGCAATGTAAGCGCCGTTGCTGGACCATGCACAGCGTTTCGAGGGAGCAACGTGACCCTCGAGAGAGGCGACTTGGTGTGGGTTGCTGCTAATGTCCCAGATTGCGACCTTCCCATCTTCACCTGCGGACGCGAGGTGTCGGCCGTCCGGTGAGAACGCGAGATCCAGGACACGATCATCGTGGGCAAACCACTCGCATCCCACAGGATGATGGTGGTATCCGTGGAGGATGTCGCTACAAACTGCCCGTCTGAGGAGACGACAAGTGCGGTGACCATCGAGTCATGCCCGGGATTGCCAGCTACTCCAGTCAATGTCCAACTCTAAATCTCGGATGCGGGATGGAACTCACAGAATCTGGCGTCTTCAGCCATCGCCCATTTCTTACTTAATGGACGGAAGCACCCATTGATTTCGTTCGACCAGGAGATCGTCTTCCGGACATTCCGGAATGGAAAGACAAGGGACCGTCAATAGCACGCGATGGGACGGGTACGTAAGCAGGACGTTGTCCAGGGCTGCACAGAGCTCCAGGTTGGCAGCTTGACGACATTCCTTGCGTAGATACCCAATGTTATGATGCCAGAGTACCAAAGTGACGTCTGTTACCGCTGTTTGCTTCGACCTAGGCAAGACGTGGACGGCACGTCGGAGGTTCTCAGTCTTGGCTCTTATCCACCATGTTAAGGAGGTCTGGCGATCATCGCCTGATTGAAGAGGTGGGACAGATGATGGTTCTGATGTGAAGGACATGAGGTATACAACTAGGACACAGGATGAGATACGCACGAATACGTTCCCCCTTCACAGGCGTACTAGCGACAACGTGAACCAACACCTCTGTGATGTCTTCATCCACATCTTGAAGTATCTGAAAGCGAACGCAGAGTCACAATCAAGGAACACATATGATCATGCAAACGCTCACATTCAACGTTCGCAGCGGTAATCGACGGGACAAGTCACCTTCTCCCAGAGGAGTATCAGCGTATAACGAGAGACGTTCGCAGGTGAGGTGTTCGACGTTTGGAAAGGCTAAAAGGAAGTGAAGGAAGGCGGTTCGCGTTTGAAACCTGACACCCTGGATAGCCAGACTCCGAAGGCCAGGCAAGCATTGCCTGCCGCAAAGCGGAGTGGACGGGGGGAGTTGATCATCGACCCACAGCATAGGAGAGAGCCCATTGAATGCGACATGATCGAGACAAGGGAGCATCGACAGCAAGGGCAATGGAGAGTCCTCACTCCACGGCAAAGACAGAGATCGCACAACAAGTTGAAGGCGGGGTTGGGCTTGGACAGCATCGTAGAACTGAGTGAGCTGTTTCTCGCTCCGTATGTCGACATCGGTGAAGAGAACGAAGAGGCTACGAGTATGGAGTTGGCTACAGGTGAGAGCGAACGCGCGCAGCGTGGCCTTGTCGCCGGAGCAGTGGTCGATGGCCCTCTCGATGACCTCCCATGGAAGCGCCGGGGACTGCGTGGTAGATGACACCAAAGGCAGGGGACGAAGGGAGTCCGTGCGGTTGCGGATGGAAGACATGGTTTGTCAGAGAGTTAATGTCGCCAGTGGTGACGATGGGCGAGCAACGGTGGCTTCGGAGCAGGCTGTGCCGAGACCACGAGGCAAGTACATCGATATCTCGGAAGGGATCGCGCTGGGATCACGCAGGCAGATGTGACTCTTTCGCTTCGGGATGTCAGGACGTTTCGTACTTGTCCGAGTCTGTTCATCGCAGAGCGATCATCGTGGGCCAAGTTAGAGTGATCTCTACTCCTATGTTTTTCGAGGGCACAACACGTACATGAATGCTGAAGAGTACGATACGTAGACCGATATCTCTAGGAGAGCGACAAGCTGAAGACTCGGGCTCCCAATATTGAGCGTACCCAGCTCACGGCACTGGGAAGAAAGGCAGAGGCATCGAGTTGTGCGCGTAATGCCGTGCATGCGCTCCGGCTGGCGAAGCGATGATCCACACTATGTTGAGCGAGCAAAGAATGAGATGTGCCCATGCGGAGACAGATTGAAAGATGTCCGTGCAAGTATTCTGCGACTCGCCCTCCTGATACACGAGACTTTCGGCCTCCTACCATGTAGCAGAGACATATCTCTCGAAGGTTGTGAAAACGAACGGCGGCGTGATGGCGGAGATTCGAAAGGATCCAAGACGTTAGCTTGAGTAGGAGACAGCTACGCAATACTCCAGGGTAAAGATGTGCCTCGTTGAACAGAGCATGAGTCAATACGCGTGGCACAGCGAGGCTACAATGACGTGACAGACGTGCAACCTACACGAGCTGCGCCACCAAAGATGCAACTAAGCGGTAGAAGCTTTGAATGCGGGCATGGTGTGACGGAGACGGTATACTGCAAAACAGAAATGTATGAGGAACTTCAGAGAGTGCAAGGACCCTGGTGACGTACTGGAGGGAAGGGCGTGTCGATGTAGCGTATAGACCTAGTCAGTACCACTCCGTGCAGGCAGCTCCAGGGAAGATGGGCGCGAGGACTCGAATCAGGACCTTCCCTCCTTCCGGTGTCACCGACGCCCCCAAGTCGCGAGTGTCCAGCAGAGCTACGTCTGTTAGCCTTTAGACACGACACTCTAAGGTCCGTCCTTCCGCCCAAGCCGCCGTCGGTAAGGAGCAAGTCTACGAAGCGGAGTGGATCTATATGAATCTGCCATGGTATAAGGATGGTGAATGTTGAGACGCCATGTGTATCACCGTGCAGGCCTGCAGGTGCAGCTACAAAGAGAGTCCTGGTTATGTGAGTATCCTCCGAGATGCGACAGGTATGTCAATGTGGTTGGGTTACAGATCAAGACAGTGGCGTCAGTGCAATTCTCCGACACAAGGTTCGAGACTCCAGCGAGGAGGTTCAATCCTCAGCATCGCTTCGAGACGATGTGAGGAGCAGAGGGATGCAGGATGCAGAGAAGGTCGGGAAGCGGACAGTAGGAATGGGCATTCACTCACCGCGAACCCTCCGCAAAAGAAGGAAACGAGGTATCCTCCGGTGCCGTCCTGGTGAGGTGCCCACATACAGCGACGATCGTGTTGCAGCTGCATCTTGCCAGGCTGTCCTCGGATATCTTCCAATGCCTCCGTTACGAAGCCATGCTCACAGGGCCTGGGTAGGAGGGCTCGTTAAGCAACGGAGGTCGAGAGAGTGCACCGGGGGCGTATCTGAAGGCGTAGGCTTGGTTATCGATAGAGCCATGGAGGCGTGGAGTGTGGCGAATGTCCCCTGGCGTTGTGTGCAATAGAATGAGCGCATCGGGGAGGAGGGGGATGTCGAGCTTGGGCTGAAGGCTCATCATAGAGCTTAAGCGGGCTGAATGGGATACGACGTTGAGACACAGATATGCCACGGGGTATCTTCACGCAAGCAGGCGAGAAGCGATGGGCATATTCAGTACGTGGATGGAGCGATCATTGAGAGGGACATACCATGACGGTCGGTGGAAAGCCACCATAAGTAGTCGAACGACAACCTCGGGCGGCGATCTGATGGAGGATTCTCGCTCGGAGCGGATGGTGGATCGAGCGCAAATGACTGAAGGACTGCCGTTGAAAGCGTCGACTGTCTGTTTCCCTCTGTCGAATGGGCGGCGTCTCGGCCCGGCTCCCGGTGTTCGTGGCAACACCTTCGACTCCATCCTGGACCTGCTTTGTTTCGATGTTGTAAAACAGCTGTTCTGCCAATGCGCACCCTACCACGTCGGACTCAATTTCCATGAGCCACTCTTGTCAGCCTTGATGGGCAAAATCAGCCGTCTCGGCGAGGTGCGCCCCAAGCGTGAGGTCGGTATGCAGCTCAGCTCAACCCGGGAGAACGTATGCTGGCATACATCGTCAATTGGATGTAGAGTAAGTAATCCATACATCCTGTGTTCCTGTCTACGTATCTACACGGGTGTCCTATCAACTTGCATCGCCCTGCGTGACCCTGACCATTCAGTGCCCTCTAGGCATCCGTACCGTGATACCCAAACACCGCTGTCGCGCCATTCCTCCCAGCTCAGGCATGCACTCCCAGACACTGCACGTCCATGTAGTGTCAAACTCATACTCCTTACGGATGCTCTATTGCTCAGGCGGCAAGTCGGAGGATGGGGTGGATGGCTACTAGCCAACTTCTGAAAGACGGTTCATTGCAAATGTGCGTTCTCTTCTGGTCCTATTCGAATCAGTATGAAGTCGAAGGAGCCTGTGTCAGTCGCATCCACTCTTGTGGCTGCAATCCGTGTGCCGAGCACATGTCCTCAGCCATTCTCTAGCACCCTTCCATGTTCATTGCCGCGTCTGTTCCAAGACACTCATAATGCGCGTCGGTCTTACACCATGCGCGCCCTCACCCAAGCGGCCGACAAGTGTTCCTCCGCATCCTGTGCGGCTTAGCATTTTTTTTTACCTTCACACGTACCTGCACCGCCTCTATTTTGCACCTCACAAAGAGCGAGCAAGCACAAGACCCGGCCGATGTCCACTCCTCCACGCAGTGCTCTCGCACTGGCACCCTAAATGCGCGTGCCACGGACCGCGAGACACGCAGGTCGAATTGTCTACCAGAACGACCCAGTCAAGGCAGAAGCGGCAACGAAGACATGCGTCACAGAGCAAGACTGCCTACCGCGCACGCCGCGCGGGAGCTTGCATCAGCAAAAGTGTAAAATTGTTGTTGTACATTACCCTCCTATGCCTATCCAGGCAAGGGAAAAAATATATGGCATGCTTGCAGGACTATTCCAATGGACCTGTCGCGTTTCCTTCAGAAGGCAATGTCCGTGGACTGCTTGCATGGACAGGCCATGCTCGGAAATGCCAGGCAATACGGCCGAGACGTCGCCGGTATTGCATGGTATTGCAGAGATTGCGGTGCCATGCAATACCGGCGTTCGAACGCCGTACCTTTCAAGGTTGCCTGGAATTGTCAGAATTGCGAGACGGGGCAAATGCTGCAAGTTGGTGCGACGTGGGGCAATAAGGGACACATGGTGCAGGTTATTTGCGTCATTGGCTCGAAATTCATGCATTGGATGATCAGGAGAGTCCAGGTGGTGTGTGCCTAGG